TATGATTTGGGAAACGTCCTTGTCTTGGTTATACATAGAATTAAGATTTTGATTGGATAAGAGAAACACACCTTCAGATCGCGGTGGCGTAGATCAGTTGGTTTGGGACCTTCTCAAAGGTTCGTGCCAGCTCACTTTCTGATAGGGGTGGATCCCGGTTTCTGTCTCTGTTTCGTTCAATTCCATCTGTTTCGTTCAAAATTCTCGGTAATGCATTGTCTCGTTCACGTTGCCTTCAGTTCTCTTTTGTGTTAATTTCCAGTTCCTTATTTCTAATTTTGGTAAACCGGTTAAGTTAGGCATAGTAGATTTTTCGTGCAGGAGTGGGTCACTTCTCTTCTGACTTAGCATTGGGTAGGACGGGTTCTGGATATTTTACATCTGTTAGGTAGGCACTATTTTTTTTTATTGAGGCCCATAAGTAAGATAGGTTGTTAGTACATCAGTTTTTGTTGTAAATATTAAATGTAAATATTTTGTGCTGTTAATAAATTATAATTGTGGCCACAATAAATACTTGTTAATTTGCAAACTCTTGTTATTAAAATTCTTGGTTTTGGTAAGTCACTTAATTACGTGACTAATTGAAATATAACAGGTTTATTGGTTAGTAAGAACTTGGAATAAAACGCGAAGTACTATTATTGATAAAGAAAATGTGTGTCATTTATAATTAAAGAGTTAATTTTGAGAATAAAAGAGGTATTTTCATACGATCATTTTCGTTACACTGGTATCGTGTAATTCCCTAATTGCATAGGTACCGTGTAACGAAACCCGGTTACATTGGTGCCATGAGTGGTACCTAAGACCGAAGGTAAAACCAAATCCTGTTACATTCGGAATATGAAAAATATTTAAAACTGACATATGATTTTGAAGAATTTACTCCCTAGAAAGGGAACTATAAGTCGGATTACCATTTGCAGAATTTAATGCAAGTTCCTCTATATATAATATGCAATTGTAATAATGAGTCTTACAAACAAAGACTATGTTGATACGTGTACCTGCTTTGTCAGCTGGGACCCCTAGATATTGATCGTGTAACTACAATCTATTGCATTTTTTTCAATACTGAATTATTGAAGACAGAATGATATATGGATTTCATATTGCTCCTAATCGTTTTACACGAGATTTCAACATCCATCTGTTTTCTTACATTTCAGTCATAGCTCGTCAATAAATTTAGATAGTTAAGGTAATACTGGATAATTAAATATAGATAAAAGAAGAAGAAATTTAATTTTCATTAACATGGGCTAACATTCAGATGTAAATTTCACGAGGACAAAGTTTTGCATTGATATTCAAATATTATGGTTAAAATCCATGCAGTTGTAACAATTATTTCCAAGAGAAAAATATAATACTGTTCCTATAGGCCTGTATTTTCCCTGGGTGTTTTCTTTCATTTCATACTTCATTTTTGCTTCAATCTGTTATTTCCTGCGGTATTAATTGTACTGTGTCATACAGTGAATCTCACAAGAGATGCGTACACAAATTAAGTAACAACTGATTATAGCGGTCAATCATTTTTTTTTTAAATTCGGAATACAAACGTAAGTGCATCAAATTTCAATAATAGTGCGTAATTTTTAAAACTGTCTTTGTCTTATGAATATATTTTCACCTTATCAAATAACGTTTCTCACTTTACTTCGACTCCGAATGATATATTTGTCCTTTCTTGCTTAATTAAAATATAATTGGGTATCATTTCGCTCGTGCAATCCATATTGATATAAGATAAATTATTCTATTATTGATAATAGAGATATTGGGGTCAAGAGGTACAAAGAAAGGGGTTAACAGTACAGCAGCAGACCAAGCATTGTACAATAAGAGAAGAATGTATGCCTAAGAGAGTAGGGGGCCGTTATACAAAAGAACTTAAGACTAGTACTAAGACCAAAATTTAATTCTGCTTATAACTTTCTAATTTATATTATATTGAAAATGGTTTTAATCTTTTTAAAATGAATGTAGTAAGATATTTTTACACGAGCAATTTTAAAAAAAATTATTATCTTTGCAAAATTTTACAATCAACTAAAGGTTTTGGTCTTAGTCGTAAGTTCTTTTGTAAAACGGGCCCGTTTTGAAAAACGACTTGATTAAATACGATGTATACTGTATTTATGAAGAATTCCACTGGAGGTAATTCCACATGTTCACCTAATTTCATAAAGGAAAATATCAGAAAAAATATAATGATTAAGATTTTGAAATGAAACTTTGATAAACTTTAAACTTATTGAAAACGTGATTTGTTTTATATTGTATACATCTGACATATGTTTCTTTTCTTTTTTTTTGAAGAAAAAAAAATTAGAGAAATCAAATAAGTAGCAATAAATGGTTCTCCAAATAAAGCATCTGATAAAATTATTAGTGAAACAGGATCTTCAATTATATTTTGTATAAAATAAAATAATCCAATAAATGTGTGAGAAAAGTGAGGAAACTGTTCTTAACCTTTCTGTTAATTTATGTTCCCCAAACGAAGTTTGGGAACATGTTTTTTTAACTTTCTTTTCTCAGAATTTCTTCTCCGGTACTTTTTTGTTCGCGAGTGTTCTCAGAAACTACTCATCCGACTGAGATGAAACCTTTTAGGGTTAATAGGCATGTTGTGTAGATGTGCAGAACGTAGGTCATTTTGCGCACACATGCATGTAAGTGCGTGCGCTTGCAATGAGCAAAATGACTCATACACTTAAAATAGCCATAACTTTTTTGGATGAAATGCTTTGAAACTCAAAACATAAAGATAAATTTATTGTGTAGACAAGATGACATGGTCAAATTAGCATGAACTCACGCGCATGCACTTCGCTCTGATTGGCTGAAACAAAAATCTCAATATCTTCCTTGATTTTTGACAAAAATCTTTGAAATTTAATATATAGGTATATATTATAAGGTTCTACAATAAGTTGTATACAAAGATTCTTGAAAACATGCGCATGCACGTTTTTCTGCAATTTGATTGGCTGGAACTTTAAATTGCCGTAACTTCCTTAGTTTTCAACAAAACAGAATGAAATTTAGAATATATATAGGTATAATGGGTTCCTACATTATGCTACAGTGCAGGGAACTAATTTTGTTACATAAACCAGCATCAGCATAAGCATTAGTAGCATCAGGATCGAGCTAGCATCAGCATCAGCATTTAAAAAACAGCATTACAAGATCAGCATCAGCAAGCAAAGGATAAAACTAGCATTAACCTACATAAAATCAGCATTATCCTACTAGCATCAGAAAATCAATGAGTTTTAATTCAGTAAAAAATTAAAAAAGAAAGAATATTGCTTAAAGTATTCACATTATTGATACATAGTGAGATATTATGATCAAATAATTGTAAAAGGCACTTTTATTGCTTTAAACGGCAATGCTGAAATTCATTATCTACTTCCGGTAGCATGATGCTACTTCCGGTAGCATTGACCTAATTATAAAACAGCATCAGGATAAGGATTACTAGCATTAAATCAGCACGCAAAGGAAGCATTCAAATCAGCAAGCAATGGAAGCATTCAAATCAGCATCGATGCTGTAACAAAATTAGTTTCCTGCACTGTACTATCAAAATTAAATGCAAGGACAAACATGTACATGCACTGAAATCTGATTGGCTAATACTTTATAGGTTGTATCTCTCTTGCTATTCAATATAATTCGTCGAAATTTAAAGGCAGAGATTTTTTACCGGGTGGTAAATTCCAGGTGAGGGAGGGGTTATTTTGGACAGGTGTGAATGCCTTGGGGGCTAGCAGTCTACCTGTGGTCGTTTGTCTCCTAATCCCTATACACAGGAGGTGATTTAATACACAGTAGAGTACCCAAGAAGTCAAACTTTACCTGTGTTGGGATTTTGAAATGATTTTAAATTAGAAATAAAAATTTGTAAATAAAGTTTAATCTCAATATTTTTTATTAATTTGTAATTGAATGTGTGTCAAAGCATCCCCACCCATTAAAAAAAATTATTATTCAAAGTATTTGTTGAGCTTTGATAAAAAATTAAACCAAATTTTGATATATATCATCATAAAGAATATCATAATTATTTCAAATACTAAAGGTGTGTGTATATATATATCATCAAGCTAAAATTCCATAGTAATCATGATAATACAGTTTCTCTATTGTTTATACCATGTGTGGTAAATATCAAAGGATCAAAAGTTAATTTGAAGGTTACCACGAGTGCCAAAGAAGGTGTACAGGGTATACACAGGGACTAGTAAGTAAATGTCAATCAAGTTCTAGCACCCAATGATGTACCTTAATGTACTTGATTGACAGGGGGACACAGATCAGGTATCTTTGATTGTATGTTGTTTTACGTCCCATTCGAGAATTTTTCACTCATATAGAGACGTCACCATATACCGGTGAAGGGCTTCAAATTTTTGACCTTTACTCGGCACTCAGGGCCATTGAGCAGTGAGGGATCTTTATCGTGCCAACGCCTGCCGTGACACGGGGTCTCGGTTTTTAAGGTCTCATCCGAAGGACCCGCAACTTTCACTTCAAAGTGCCGAGCGCATGGCGAAGGAACAGTTGCCACCCATTTTTTATCGACTTAGGTCAGTCGCGGCCGAGATTCGAACTCATGACCTCCCGATCACGAAGCGAGCGCTCTACCGACTGAGCTACCGTGAACGGTCAGGTATCTTTGAAGGCGGAGCTTAAAATATCTGCCTTTAAGACATCGGCATATGTTACAAGGCACTATAAGAATATATTTACAAATTTATTTCAGTACAACATCAAAAAATTACAGAGGACTTGGATATGGATGATAGGACAACATTTTGAAATACTGGTATTCACTTTCATGGACATCATTATTAAGCCTTTTTGATTGTTTTCTGCTACCTAGGATTTAGTACATAGATCCAGAGAAAAGAGGACTGAAGAAGCAATAAATATAAATTCTGACGTACCAGATTTTAAAAACTTATTTATATACTTAATTAGAACAACATATATCCGGATATCATTGTTTGATCGCCATCTGCAGATGTTGACTGCATCACATTCACAACGTCATTTGCACGGAGCCGCAGAACAGCTACATTAGAACCGCTGTCATAATCGGAAGATCGTCCATCAGACACGGTGTATCCATACGCCAACCCATTCACGACCAGTGTCGATTTCAAATATTTTTCATATGCCTCCATATTCCAAAATATGACGTAGATGCCATCTTTAGGAGCGGTGAACCCTGTGGTGCGATAGAACGAACTTGTCGTATCGAGGAGTTCCGAACTAAACAACACTGCGCTGTATGAGGAGGGTGATGATGAAGTTAGTTGTTCCATAAAGGCCGGGGTATTCACGGAGGCTGCCGGAGAAATTCTTATTCTTATTTTATTCTTATAAGATTAAGTATAATACCCGGTTTACAAGCACTTGGGAAAAATTTTTTAAAATTAAAATGTTGGATAAATTACATACAAATTTGACACCCAGTGACTCTAAAATACTTATATTTCAAATAATTTGTTATGTTTAAAACATAATAGTGTTGGATTTTTCATCACAAAACAGCTTGTACAAAAACTGAACTTTAGATATTTAAAAGCTTAAAACAAAGAGTACTACATGTACAATGTAGCACGTCATATTCATAGCAATTTGATAATGCTTACTTCCCGGCTGAATAAGCCATCCCAAATAAGAGGACCTTGGAGACTCTAAAGTGGCATCACTATCGCCACTGTAGAGGTGCACGGCGTCACCAGCATGTAGCCAAAATAGCTGCAGAGTTGAGGAAGAGTCCCGATAGCTACCACTTGAGGAGTCTGGCCACACCCCCAGAGTGTTTAGTTTGGATCCGTCCTTGTAAAAGTAAACCATATAATCTTTGTGAAGAGCTTCTACGTTGAAAGCAAGAGCATAGAGACCTGACTCTGGGCAAACAAACGTTCCATTTCCCGGCATATACGACAATCCATTGTTAGTTACTACATTCTTGAAAACAAAGCCATGTTGGGAAACACTCGGTTTTGTTAAAGGTGAGTCAGCTTTGGCATAAAAAGAGACATCTGTAAGAGATAGGTTTTGAAAATAAAATGAAGTGTTTGAATTCGAGTCAAAATATATAAATAGTCTCTGATCACTGCCAGTAGCAAGCTACTGATCAAAAATCACTACAAACAGAAGTATTCCAAAACATTCTAAACTGGTTGATATAAGTACACTTACACGAAAACTCTTGATTTTCATTCAGATATTTCCTTATTATTCGAGTGAAAGAATAATCAAAGTGCAGCAGAAGATGTTTACAATTGCAAACAAATTTAGAATGTGAAATTATATAACTTAATGAATAAAATGAAACGTGAACATTTACTTTGATTCAGACGCCATCCAGAAAATGTAGAAAATTCTCCGTCTATCGGGCCCTGTAATATCCGGACCCTGAGTTGGTCTCCTACTTGAAGATTAGTCACTACAAAACCTGTGGCTGAATCTGTATGCACAGAATGCTCAGATGAGTCAGAGAGGATAGTTCCCACGATATTACCGTTAACATACAAGTCTGCAAAGGCCTTGTTACTACCGTGTGTTGCTATGGTCCAAGAGAACACGTAAGCACCAGTGTATTTACAAGTAAAGATTCCAGTAGAACCGTTGTAAGAGGATCCCTCATTGGTTGTCACATTTTTGAAAATAGCGTGATCATTCGTCACAGAGAATGTTAGCTGAGCATAGAATGCATAATTTCCGGGTACTTCTGAAGCTCCAGGTTTCACTTGATGAAAATAATAAGTTCCTATTTTGCATGGAAAGATATTTCAAATAAGCTCCTTCGATATTATTTAATCAGAAGAGAGTATCTTACTTGTTGTCCCTGTGTTTATTACAGTTCCTGATGTAAAAGAAGCATTGCAGTTACTGTTACATAAGTCTCCACTGCAGCATCCGGAACATGGTTTGTATGACCTCTGCTGGAGCTGTGACCTTTTCTTTCCAACAATAATCGGTGCTGATATATGGTTGTTGCAAGCCTTATAAAATTTACATGAGAGAATATACTAGAATACATTCACTATACTACACACAATTAATAGATTCTTTGGCATTTTCAATTAATTGACTAATATCTGTTTATTGTTTAATAGCTCACGTGTACATCCTCACATCGGTTGGTGAAGTAACGCTGACCAAACAGTGGCTTCTCCCCAAGGAAACAACGCTGTAGAACAATTATACTTTATATATGTAAACTCTTTGCAGAATGCCACTGTATTGTATTGGATTGGGATTGCTTTTAGAATTGCAATGGTACATAAACATATCGAAAGCAAAATATGATCCAAAATTTTCTTTGGATTTCTGCAGATAGTTCGTGTATATTGATGTTGTCCTTATGTATATCTGTTCATCCGTCCGTCATATTTTCATTGAATTTTCGAATTTGCAAATAAAAATCTGCATAAGATTTGTTTTGTTATGGAGATTTGCACTACATGCACTAGGTTCTGGAATTTTCATTCACCTTATAGGCCCTGAAAAGTAAGATGTACCAGACGATATATATAAATTTTTTAGCTACTAACAAGTTGTTTAAAAGTAGATTTTGCTTATGATCTGTGAAGATACATGTAAAATCAAATACCCAATAGCAGAGGATGAGTAAAACTGAAATTCCCGACAATACCAAAACTAGCTTAAACTGCCCTTCTTACCTCGTTGGTTCCACAAAGAGTTACATGGTGACAGTCGTTCGGGTGCAGCGTGTGAGCGCAGTTAAAACAGATCGGTCCACGAGATGTCGGAAATACTGGTCAAATAGAAAAAATAATTAGAACAATTTTATTTCAACCAATGTAGACTGGTAACACGAAGAGACAAATTTTAGTGACGTCACCCGTTTCTTAAAATTTTGATATCAGTGCATTTTACATTAATTTTAACAAAGTACATGTGCTTAACAATGGCTTACCTTAGCAATTATAAATTAAAGTAATTCCTGCTCAGTTAAAAGTTTCAAAACAAAAAAAAATCACCTGGCGATCCGCAACCATCTATATTACACAGATCTCCATAGCAACAATCATTACATAAAACAGATCCATGGATTGCTCTTCTGTTAGAATGGAGCACTGTTTTGTTTGGGGTTTTAGCACACGACTGAAAAATAATAACCAAGAAGATACTGGCAGAGACATTATAAGTGTTGATGTCAACATATATGCAATCGCTCACACAGTGAATATTGAATATCTTTTCCAGCCTTTTAACCCCCCTACCCCCAAAATGCGTGAATTCTTCCTTTTTGACATCATAGACAGCTGCTTTTTCAATAAAATTGAAACTCGTAAATATAATAACCTTGCCATTGGCCATTTGCAAAATTATTTTGTTAAAAAACATTCCGATCGTACACACAAGTACTCTGAAGTTGATATTAAAAAGATTCTTGAGTTTCTGATTGACATATCTATGTAGATTTTGGAGATCAGATCTTCCAACAATCTGTTGGAATTCCCTTGGGTACCAATTAATCCCCTCACTAGCAATCCTATTTTTGTATTCATATGAATAAAAATTTATTCAAAAACTTATGTATGAGAAGAAGAAAACACATGCTGTGGCCTTCAACCCGACATTTAGATATATCGAAGAAGTATTATCAATTAACAATAGTTATTTCCATTCATTTGTCGACTCGATATTCTAGTATCCCAGTGAGCTTGAAATAAAGGATACCACAAAGTCTGACACATCTGTTTCATATTTGGATATTTTACTAGAAAAAGACTTTAATGGTAACCTCACAACAAAGCTTTATGATAAACTTGATGACTTCAATTTTTCAATCGCCAACTTCCCTTGCTTATGTAGCAATATACCATTATCACCTGCAGATGGTTTTTTTGTCTCCTAGTTGATTCTATACGCAAGAGCATGCTCTACATATGAACAATTTCTAAAACGAGGCAAGCTATTTACAATTGAGTTGATGAAACAAGGATATTAACAGTCTCGTTTGAAGTCATCATTTCGCAAGTTTATGGTCAAATGCTGACTGACGTTTTTCATGCTAATTGTTAGGCCATTATTTAAACACTGAATTGTCTACGAATTTTTTTTCCGTTTTTCCCGATCATGACAAGGAGCACTTGGCGGGTGTGACATGTCGTCAAGGGATGCGCACTCCTCCATGGCACATGATCCCACCTCTGATGTTTTAGAGGTCCGTGTTTTCACTGCTCCCGATTTGTATTGTTTAAATGGACTTCTGAGCTTGAATACTTTTCGTTACCTCCATATTTCATTGAAGAAATAGAAATTGCCCTTCATGAATTACACAAATCATTATTGACATGCAACACAAATATCGATTCTAATTTCTCCCGGTATATAATACATGTAGTTTTTGTTCGTTTATTCTTAAAAGCATATTAAGAAGAAATTTAAACGAAAAGGATTTTATGAATGTCCTTTTGAGTTAAGAAGTCTTGTTTGAATAAAGAAGAAATAGTACTGTGGTAATAGGGTTGGATCTTTGTTATGTATGCAGTACATTAATGATGAAAACAAACTTCACCTTCATAATTATATAATTATGTAACTTACCGTTTTAGAAAGACATCCAAGCCAAAAGGAGATGTCGCCATTTTCTTTATGGTATCTCTGCACGCTGCACACCTGTCAAAGTAAAACATGATGAGTTATTTTCGTTGTCCACTGATGATTGCACTATAACTACACAAGCCATTTTATTAACTTTTTTTTTTTAAAAAATTCAATTTACCTCTATATTTGCAATAAAGTAAGATTTTTTGTTTCTTATCTTTTTTTAAATTCAATTTATCTCCACAACACGGTATTCAGCATTCACAAGTTTCTAAGCATGTCTAAATATTGAAAATCAGTCTTCTCTTTTGGAAAATGGGGGCATATAGCAATGATTATTTTTAAATCTAAAACAGCAGTGTCGATGACTGTATGTTAAATAAAAATATACTAATAAATTGCCTAATGTATTTCATTATTTGAAAACTTGAGAAAGGAAAACATCAACTAGCAACAAATAAATCTACGAGAGTTAGTTTAAGCAAGGCGTTTGAAAACTTACATGTTACAGGTATTACACTATTAAAATAAAATTGAATTTGCAGCTATTGAAGAGAAAATGTACGAAGTAAAGATTATAGGCCAAAACTGCCATTCTGTGAGAAGAAGGAATTGTTGAAGGGCCGTTCGGTTCGACAAAAGTTCTTTTTCTTGCAAAATAAAGTTTTCGACCTATAACCTACCTAAAACATTTTCTTTATTGTAATTATAATGTGTTCCCTTAAAATTGTTTCTCCTTTTAAAGTAAACATCAGGCCCGTAGCAACGATTTCATAAAGCGGGGGGGGGGGGGGAGCAACCTCCCAAAAAATCTCCAAAAGGGGGACAACTTTCCAAAACTAGTCTGACAAGCAAAAAAAAAAACCCTTTACTGTCCAAATCCTGCAATTTGATATACTCAGAAAAGTGGGGGGGATTCAAGTGCAAATCTGCTTTGGTGTTTTTGTGAGTTAGAATACACGTCTATTTGTTTCTGTTACATGGAATATATTTCATTATTTTGTGTAACACATTGAATTCATTGATTAAAAATATTTATTTGTGTCTATGTTGTGTTTTTTAACTCAATAACTTACCCATAGCCGTCCTATAAGTTTTTAAATGCCGTCCATTATTTCATAACTTATTGGACAGTTATAGGTAACTTATTGGACTGTCTATAGCCTTTCAAGAAATAGAGAGTATTAAAAAACAAAAACAAAAGATGATGCTTTATTTATACTCACATCTCCGACTGGGCAGTATTCAATTCTCTCACAGAAACGAGGCTCTAGTACGTCATCACAGCGTAGACACTTTAACCCAAGACCTTGCAATTAGATATGCAAAACAGACTTAAAAATTCACACATGGTTTGAAATATTAACTAAGCAGAATTGTATGTCAATTGATTGACGTTCCTTTTAACTCTTCTACTCAGATTTGATCTCATTAGGCCTACATATTTTCTACAAGAAACAACAATATACATATTAAGAGAGTATAAGAACAAGCCACTATTATTAACTTTGAGTTATGGAACAAAATTATTTAAAAAAAAAAGGATATTTAAAGCACATAATGTTGATTTCAAATAGAAAATGTTTGAATTAGAAAGAGGAAAACTGTGATTATGACCTATTTAATTAGTGAAACTTCCACCAAGTACAAAGCTTGTTTAAATACTGATACTAACGAAAGTACACTCAGTGTTTATACTTTATATTACCCCATATGTTTCTTGACACTTGGGGAAGACCACTTGATTAATATTCTGAAAAGCGGTGTGTGGGTGGGGGTGGGGGATGGCAACGTTAGATTATTTTCATGCCATCACGGGACAGAATATTTTTTTCCAAGGTCACCAGAGACAGATTATTTATTTTCTCCAGTTTCTTGCCTTTGTGATCACAAATACTAGTAGTGCATGTATAAAAAATTAATAGCATGAATAATATTGCTATATTAAAATGTTTACACATTTGCTTTGATATAATATTAATCATTACTAGAAGACCAATTTATTAAGACCAGATATTGGGTTTAAGGGGGGACATGTCTCCTTTCTTCTCATATATTAAAACATTGTTGGTCTTAAAAAGTGCAGAGAGAACATAGGTAGATGGTCACTATTCAAGTATTAATTCTGCAATAAAAATGTATTGGTCTCGGTGACGTTAAATAGCCAAAGTCAGATTATTTATTCTCTTGTCAAAGGAGGATAGTTTAATTATTTATTTTTAAAATTTGAAGGAAAGAATATTTATTTTTGAAAGAGCTGCAAATGACTAAATCTAAAGATTATCTTAGTGCACATGTACATAAAATAAATTTTGGAACAAGAAGTGTTTGATAAAAACAAATGCCCAAAGAGTGGAATGGAAACTCTTATTATATGCACTTTTACTGCCAGTGACCCTGAACTTGTCCAAATGGCCATGAGTCCAAGGTATTAACACGGATTCAGCTCATAAGAAATGTTTCTCCATTGCGAGATAATGCCAGGACAGAATTACATTTTTTTTTTCTAAAAGTGACCCTGAACTTGCAAAAATGACCTTGGTTCAAGATTCTGACAAACCCTCTGGTCAAAACAGCGTATTCGTGTTCTTCTTCACTCTACAACTATAGTCCTATGTCATTACTGGTGACGTAAATATAGTTAAAAATGAGGGCCTTAAATCAATTATTTTAAAAGGGCCAAAATTTAAGTAACCCCGATCTTTCAACTGGAGTAATAATTTTAAAATTCTATGATTTCTGTGGAAGATTACGTCAGGCAATAAGCCAAACATGACAAAGAAGACCTTGACACTTTGTCAGAATGGATTTTAAAAAGTTTCAGATGGATGATAAAATCTCGCATTAAGCGATTGAGGAGCAATATGAAAACCATCCTTCTGTCTTCAATAATTCAGAACTGAAAAAAAGAATTAGATAGATTACACGATCAATATGTACTGGTCCCAGCTGAAAAAGCAGGTAACAACATTGACTTTGTAAGGCTCATTATTTCAACTGTATTTTAGAGGAGCTGGGATTTAATTCTCAAGGCATCAATACAATTTATACCCATAGCCCTATTTCTAAGGACGAAATTCTTCAAAATCATATCTGTTTATAATATTTTTTATATTCCCAAAGATCAAATTGAATTTGAATTACCTTACTTAATCTGGATTCCTAAACTACATAAAAATCCCTAAAAAGATACATAGTGGGTTCCAGTAAATGTTCTACCAAGCCTCTTTCTTTACTCCTCACTAAATATTAACAGCATCGAAAAAGAACTTTGGGAGTACTGTTCAGTAATGTATTCGAGAAGTGGTGTAAATCAGATGTGGATATTTAAAAACTCCAAAGAACTTTTAAAAAATTTAAAATCACAAAATTTTACCAAAATCAATAAACATCAAAACGTACGATTTTTCAACACTATACAACTATTCCCCACGATAAGTTAATGTCCAGGGCTTCTGGACACCATAGACGGCTGCTTTTTCAATAAAATGCAACACGTAAATTTGCTTACCTTTACAATGGTCATTTGCAAAATTAATTTGTTAAAAACATTTTGATTGTTCACACAAGTGGATATTAAGCTTGAGTTTCTTTTTTTGGAGTTCAAGTCTTCCAACAATCTGTCGGAATAACCATGTGTAATAAATGCGCCCCATGACTAACAGACCTATTCTGTATTCATATGAAGCAGAGTTCCCAGTGAAAAGATCTACTTTCATTATCCCAAGAACAATTAACAAGATTGTCATAAACATGTACAAGTATATTATTATAACTTATTGAATGAATTCTACATTCATCAGTAATAATATCAATTTCTCACTTGGTGTTACCTATTTATTTTTAAAAAACTTCTACATGAGAAGAAGTCTCTTGCTGTGGCATTTAATTCAACATTTAGATATGTCGACGACTTTTGATCAATTAACAATATTAATTTTCATTCATACGTATATTCCTCTAAACTCGAAATAAAAGATACTACAGAATCTGACACATCTGTTTCATATTTGGATATTTTACTAGAACAAGACGTTAATGGTAACATAACAACAACACTTTATGATAAACGTAATGATTTTAATTTTTCTATCGTCAACTTCCCTTATTTATCTAGCAATATACCCTTATCACCAGCACTTAGAGTTTATGTCTCCCAGTTGATTTGTTATGCAAGAGCATGCTCTACGTACGAACAATTTCTAAAACGAGGCAAGCTATTGAAAAACAAGTTGAATCAAGAATATCAACAGTCTCGTTTAAAGTCAACATTTCGCAAATTCTATGGTCAATACAATGACCTTGTCAGATACATGTACAATCTATCGAATGCTGACTGACATTTTTGATACAAATTGTTAGGCCATTATTTACACACTGAATTGTCTACGGATTTTCCGTTTTCCCGATCATGACAATGAGCACACGACGGGTATGACCGGTCGACATGTGACGCTTACTCCTCCATGGCACCTGATCCCACCTCTGATGTTTTAGATCGAGGTCCGTGTTTGCTCTGCTCCCGATTTGTATTGTTTCAATGGACTTTTGAGCTTATATAATTACTGTTCGTTATCTCCATATTTCATTACTTTTAAGACTTTTTAAAATTTATAGCAAAACTGTGAAGAATAAAAGGTCTACATACCTATTACAGTGACGGATAAAAACGTGGTCAACGCTGCAAAAAATACAAAACGTATTATTTACTAATATTGTCAGTGGTGAATGTTGTGTGTGTGTGTGTGTGTGTGTGTGTGTGTGAGAGAGAGAGAGAGAGAGAGAGAGAGAGAGAGAGAGAGAGAGAGAGAATTCTTACCTAACAGAAAAACACTGATTGGAAACATGGTACACAAGTGACAATCTCCTCTTTATAAATAAGTGAATGTATTCTTATCTTTGATAAGATCCATAGAGCTTAGTACATGTGTCCCTAGATAAGTATTCCTAGCATACGAACATATTAGCTGGCATTCAACGCATTTCACACCCTTGGACAATTTATTTTTTGTTTAAATTAGTTACATGATTTTCAGGAAAACACATATTTTTTAATCATCAAGAAAATCATAAGAATTAAATTGCTTTGTTTGTTCGATTAACGTTCTTTTGAGAATTTTTCACTCATATTGAGATGCAACCACTTGCCGGTGGAGGGCTGCAAATTTCGACCTGTACTTGGAGCGTACGGCCTTTGAGCAGTGAGCTAGGGATCTTTTTCGTTCCAGCACCTACTGCAACAAGGGACCTCGGCTAGTGGATTCGAACCCGCGACGTAGGATCAGCTCCTTACTTCGTGACTCTAGAGCAAACGCTCTGACCACTGAGCCACGCGGGCGACTGCTAAATTGCAATGCTGCCCCTTCCAGAGATCTCAAAACTGAGCTGGCTAACTTTTATGGCCCCGGAGCCTGTACCAATGGCCCATGAAATAAGTCTGGTGGAGAGCTAAGTTTTTACCATAATCATAGAAACGGTTGCCTGCTGTCCACAAGTACAGATTTTCAAAGATGTAGATGTAGGCCTAATCTTATTTTCAATATATATTCAATTAAGGACAGATGTTACAATCAATCTTTTTTAAACAAAATCATGAGAACAACAACTAAATATATGTATATAAATATAAAAATGATTGAGTTTAGTCAGATAAAAGTTTTATTTTTCATTTAAAAATTCTCAATAATGTCCTAAAGTCATGAAAAATGTATACGGGGTATTTATAAGGATGACGGCTAAAGGTATTATAGACATTTAATACCCCCGGGATATGCATCATTTACAACCAAATCAAGTCCAAAAATATATACCGATCTATGTCGGGGCTACAGGGTCGTAGCTAGGCTTATGCAAACACTCAAGTGCTTCCACATCATTTTCACAATGAAATAAATCATAACAAAATAACGATATAAAAAATTAAAATATAAAAGTTTAAAAACAACTCCCTTCTTATTTCACACACTGCTGGGCTGGTGGTAAGCTGCCCACTGCTACCTTGAACTCCTCTTTGAAACTGGATGATCGATGCAACTACCGGTGGCAATCTGTTCCAATCCCCGATGATTCGTTGGAAAAAGGAGAATGGAATGCGGAAGGTACGTTGGTCTCTGGTTCTGCTGTCTGTGTGGATCAGGTATAGTAGACTGCTGGGATTTCTACGAAGTTCTGTTGGATCTTACATAGCAGTAGAAGACAAATCTTGACTCTCCTGACTAATAGTTGTTCCCATCCAAAAGAACTGATCATGTTGGTGACACTACCTCATTGTCTATTCCGATAGTTTTTGGTCACGATTCGCGCTGCTCTGCGTTTGACTTTCTGTATCTGGGCATTCTGACCGATGGTATGGGGATCCCAGACAGATGTAGCGTACTCCATTGTTGATCGTATGATGGTCTCTCATGCTCCGACTTGCTGCCGTTCTGCACCCTCTAAGATTTCGTTTGAGGAAGCCGAGAGTTCTGTTTGCTGTTATGTTGTCAATGTGTTTATTCCACTTTAAGGTGTTGCTGATTGTGACGCTCAGATACTTGTTTGAATCAACCACTTCTAGCTGATGGTTGTGTAAGACGTAGTAAGGTCTGATGAAATGCTATCTGCCACTCACTCTCCTATTCTTCAGGGCTGCCAGGTCCTGTTGTAGAATCCTGCTGTCCTCTTCACTATCGACAAGGTGTTATAACAAGCAGTTGTCATCAAATAAACAAGCTTCTGAGTTGGTTGACAAGTCTTTGAGGAATGTGAGGAATAAAAGCAGGCCAAGAACTGTCCCCTGTGGTACTCCAGATAGGACTTCAGCTTTGGATGAAATATGACCATCTAGCAGGACTTGTTGGCTATTGCTGAGGAAGTCCTGTCCACTGGAGAGTATCATTCCAGGTTGTGAAGTATCCCAGCTTGTGAAGGAGTCTTTGGTGGGGGTCCTTGTCAAATGCTTTAGAGAAGTCAAGTATAACTATATCTGCTTGTCTTCCCTCATCTAAGGTGCGAGCTATGTGTCTATGGTGATGGCCAGCGCTTGTACTCACAGGAGCGTCCTGATCTAAAGCCATGTTGACTGTCGCTTAGAATTGTATGGCGATCAAAATGGTCAATTATCTGACTATTGATAATATATTTTAATATCTTTCAAGAGACCGATCATTAGGAAACTAGCGGGTAATTGGAGGCCTGAAGTTTGTCACCTTTCTTAAAGATTTGGATCATTGAGGCTGACCGCCTTTTTCACCTAAAAATCAGTAGGGTTTTTTTAAGTAATCATAACTAGAACTGTCCAAAAGGGACAAATACCCCCCGCTGGGTTTTTCAGAGAAAGTACCAAATCACTAATGTTTTCTAGATGTGAGAGGTGTTCAGAATTTGCTTAAACATTTACAGTAAAAATTTAATTACTCATTATATTTTTTTATACGCCCGTCTTAAGACGGGACATATTATGTTATAGCGTTCATGTCCGTCCGTCTCTGCTAGCTTTTTCATGTCCGGCTCATAACTTTAATACTATTAGGCCTAGAATTATCAAACTTTGTCAGCTGATACATCTAGGGTAGGTGTGTCGCACATTAAAACCAGGTCACTCTGACCTTTAATAAAGACGCTATGGCCAAATATGGAAAAATCATAACTAGAAAACCATTAGACTTAGAATCAAAAAACTATGTCTTTTAATTTTTAAATTACACAATCCCAAAAGATGTCAGAGTATTGCAGTATCTTTATTAAAAAAGTGTTAAATCAAGAAAATACTAGTCTTATTTTTTTCATCATGTTCTTTACAGCAGTCTGTAACAAGAAAAATTCCACCTCTCCCATGGGTGTAATGATCAGGCACTAATTAACACTTATATGATATTGTATAATATAATTTAACTAATTATTTATTGTACATTTTTTATTTTAATTTTTATATCTTTACAACAAATTGCAGACTGCCTAATCTCGCTAAGATGTCATTCGAACAATTGAATCTAAACTGTGTATGATAATTTAACAATATTTGATGGGCGTGTCATGCTGTGGTGGGGCACTTTATTTATTGAATGAAACTAAGGTGCAGCCTAATAAAACATCAAAACTAATAATCAGTGTTTTTTATTACATTGAAAAAATAGTTTGCAACTATCTGCCATCTTTGTGAGACATTACACTCTGCAAATTGATTGTTGAAAAAAAAAAAATCACAATTAATTATAAAAAAATCAAATTGACTTTAATACCTTTATATCAAACTCATTTTAAAAACAAGAGGCCCAAGGGCCTTAACGGTCACCTGAGTATAAAACAACAATCTATAGAAGATCCATAGAGTATATAATAAACTAATAGAAGCTTTTGTAAATCTTTGATTTTCCCTTGTGGCCCCACCCTACCCCAAGAGTCCAGAGTCATGATTAGAACAAATTTGAATCTATACTAGCTGAGGATGTTTCCATGTAAATATAACCAATCATGGCTTTGCTGTTCTTGAGAAAAGAATTTTTTCAATTTTTAATGATTTTTTCTATGTACTTCTATGTAAAACTTTGATCATATTAAAATGACTAATCATGGCTTTGCAGTTCTTGAGAAATTTTCCTATATATTCCTATGTAAGACTTTGATTCCCCATTGTGGCCCCACCCTACGCCGGGGGGGGGGGGGGGGGGGGGTGTCAGGATTTTAACAAACTTGATTCTACACTACCTGAGGATGCTTCCATATATTGATCAATCATGGCTTTGCTGTTTATGAGAAGATTTTAAAAGATTTTTCCTATATATTTCCATGGAAGACATTGATCATCCATTGTGGTCCCACCCTACCCCATGGGTGTCATGATTTGAACAAACTTGAATCTACAATACCTGAGGATGCTTCCATATAAATATGACTCATCACAACTTTGCTGTTTTTGAGAAGATTTTTAAAGATTTTTCCTATATATTTTTATGCAAACTTTGATCATCCATTGTGGCCCCACCCTACCCCCGGGGGTCATGATTTGAACAAACTTGAATCTACACTACCTGAAGATGCTTCCACATAAATATGAGCAATCAGGGCTTAGCTGTTCTTGAGAAGATTTTTAAAGATTTTTCCTATATATTTCTATGTAAAACTTTGATCCTCCATTGTGATCCCACCCTACCCCTGGGGGTTATGATTTGAACAAACTTGAGTCTACACTACCTGAGGATGTTTCCATACAAATTTCATCTTACCTGGTCCAGTGGTTCTTGAGAAGAAGATTTTTTAAAAGATACCATTAATTTTTCACTAATTCTTAATTATCTCCCCTTGGAAGAAGGCGTTGCCCTTCATTTCAACAAACTTGAATCATCTTTACCCAAGGATAGTTTGTGTCAAGTTTGGTGAAAATTGGCCCAGTGGTTCTTGAGAAGAAGTCGAAAATGTGAAAAGTTTACACACGACGCACGATGACGGATGAAAACAGATAGCAATAGGTCACCTGAGTGACTCAGGTGACCTAATAAAAGGCTGGTTCCAGTAACTATGTATTTTGACAGACATAAATTACAATTAAGAGACTTAGACAACAGAGATCTTTATTTCTTTCTGCCCAATTCCCAGGAGATATAGATAAGACCTGCTTGATCAGAGATGCCCTAACAGCTTCCCACACTGAACTCATTAATTAATCTTTAACTGGATGCATGTCCACTCATTACTCCCAAGGGACAAATGGATTTACACTATCTGCTGTGTAATGTAAAAACTGTTTTTAATACTTTATGATTTTTTTTTTAGTTCTAATGAGTAGTTTTAAGCTGTAGTTCACATTTTTGTACAGATGTTCTTGATTTCATTATCTCAAACCTTAGACATGAACCCGAAATGACTAAGTCAATAAAAAAAAAAAAAAAAAAACCACCTGTAAAATGCAGAAAAATTATCAAAAAATGTTGAAAATACCAGGTGCACATCTTCATATGGTAAATAATAAGTGTACAAATTTTCATACAAATCTATGCAATAGTCTCTGGGAACAGATCCAGACAAAACCACATAATAAAAATGAAAAAAAAAAACCACCTGTAAAATGCAAAAAAATTATCCATTCATAATGAGAATACCAGGTGCACACCTTCATATGGCGAATAATAAGTGTACAAATTTTCAGACAAATCCTTGCAACAGTTTCCAAGAAATGGTCCGGAAAAAATCTCGTTTACAGACAGACAGACGCACATGCTGATTCCAATATACCCCCCCAAACTTCGTTTGCGGGGGGTATAATAACTAAAGGTTTAAAATTTCACATACTGTCTGCAAACAAGTGTTACACACAAAATGTATGAATCTCTGGCTTTGACCTTTAAATCAATAGGGGTCTTCTAAGCCATAGGGAATTGATATACATGTATATAATTTGATTGTAAAAGCTCATAGGGTTACACACAAAACAGAAGGACAGACAGACCGAAATGAATACCCTCCTTCTTTCAGTGAAAGCAAACAGATTGCCTGCTAGATGTTCCGTAGTTTGGAAGCTTTCTTTCTAGTTACCTTTTTTAAAAAATTACTTTGATCAACTGCATATGCTTATCAATAATGGGCAGTGTCTTTTAATCGAATGACAAAATTTTGCTTACATTATTTATTTCATTAAATTCCATTTCTATAAATACTATATACATCATAAAAATGTCAGCTTTGAACAATACAGTATATACCTTATCATGAACACAGTGAATTCCAAGCTTGCTTTCGAACACATAATTGGTGGCACCTGAACAAAAATATGTGTATAAAATTACTTACAAAACATAAAATCATTCAAACTGTTCAATAAATCATTTTTCTGTCATTTTCAGTATTTGTCAAATAAAGTTAAATGTCTTGATCTACTCCAGAGGGAAATTTGTTCCTCACATAAACAGTGTTTGGCATAGCTGCACCTCCAGGTGACTGTAATATGGCCAATCCTGGCTCAGATAAAAGTGATCTTAGTGTGTGCCTGGTTTGTTTGCCAGACATTCAGTTCTTCATATTCCTCTATACAAGCATCCACCTGATCTGGCTTGAACCCCTTGGAAACACACTGTTCCATGACCTCTGAAATCTTCACTGACCTCAGACCCTTAGAAGGAGCCATTTCTCGGACGATGCTGAATATCTGATCAGTCACATTGTGGGCTCTGAAAATAAATGTCATCATCATGGAAATACCTTAGATGCAATTTCATGCTATGTTTACATTAAATCCTTCCTATTTCCTTTAATTATTACTAACATCAAAGTAAAACAATAGGGCTTTCACTTTACCTGTTGTGCATTTCATGAGCTGGATTCAGTGAATCCTTGGACATTTCCATCAGTCTCATTGCCTCATTAACATCTTCCTTTTCCACCATATCAGCCAATCGCAGCCTGGCAAGAGCCGTGGAAAGACGGAGGATGGCAAGCAGAGTGCGAGCGGAAGTAAATGTGGTGTCCTTACTGTTTCTAGCCTCCTTCCTCATTTCTACATAAGCACCAGTGATGTAATCTGACAAATTCTCTGGAATCACTGGCTGTTTCTTCTTACACAGGGCAATATACCGTCTGCAAAAATGTTAAATACCTGTACTTGAAGACCTTGTCCACTTTACATGAAATTAAAGAGAAACCAAGTTAAAAATCTTTTTACCTAAATTATCAAAAGTGATCAAAATACTGTAGAATCATTTGATATGAGGGTTAATGTTCGAGGGCAACCAAAATAAGAAAAGATATGTTGACGAGGTTATGATTTAAAAGGATATAAAGAGCTAGGTTCACTTTATGCATAAAATGGCCCTGTAGATAAATCAATTTATCCACTAACACACTATGTCCCTTTCTTAACATCAATATAAAGTAGAGACTTGGCGCTTTCAGTTTGTATATAAAAGTTTCCTCTAAAGAGTCCAGGTACTCGAAAACAGGTTGTGTGAAATTGCAATGTTCTTGAATTTTGCAGAAAACAGGCGAATTTGAAAACCTTCAACAAAGAATTAAAATATGAGCACACCCCTCGATCCAAAAATTAAAATATATTTTATAATCTTAATGAGCAGTTCTTTCGTAATATATTTGCACATTTTGGATCGGAGGTTGTGCTGTATACGAAATATTGAAAAATAGCATCATATTTTGACCATTTTTGAAGAAATATTCGGGATATGTGAATAATGACGCAATTTATGACGTTATAATGCATTGACTATCAAGAAAATTACGTCATTTTTAGTAAAAATTCAGTCACCAAGTGTTCAAGTGATATTTATTGCCTTTTCGACTAAAACTATGCAGTTTTAATTTTTCAGAAATTTACAGGGCCAAAAAAGGCCCTAAGTGGCCCTTGCTCTTTGGGGGCAAGGGTGATCCATGAACATCCCCCCCCCCCCCCAAACACAATTACGATTCCATGGCAGGGCTCGACATTAACGCTTGTCCGCTTGTCCGGTACCAGTGGAAAAAAAATACGGACAAGTGAATATTGCTGGGCACTTGTCCGATTGGACAAGTGCATTTTTATGTAAAGAAGTCTCTAAATATTTAAAAGAACGACTGTTGAAAGTTTGCCGGTACTTTAAGACGGAAACAGTACATAAAAACCGAACTTTGATCCCGATATAGATCGCTATGTAATTGAGTACACTCGATCGGCATGGAACTGACGGTTTGGATTCTTGTTTTATGTTGACAGCATTTATGTTGTGAGGACAGAAAGTCTAGATAAGATTTTGTTTTATGTGTTTGTTGTATTTGTAAATAACATCATGCACATGTAATGGACTTTATTTTTAGTTTTTCAGTTAACAGTATTAGATCTTAATTGAAAATTTTTTGGACAAGTGAAGTTGAAGTTGGGACAAGTAAATGTCTTGGTCACTTGTCCGAATGGACAAGTAGGGAAAAAAGTTAATGTCGAGCCCTGCATGGTAAGCCATTTTTACTCTGGCATGAAAAAAATATGAGCAGATGTACATCTCCATCACAATATACAAATTTTATCATTGTGAACTAATCACATACGAATGTATGGGCTTCAAAGTGGACCATTCTGGGTTACAACGTGCTTTACACAAGTAAATTTTAAAATCCTGATCCTTTAATGCAAGATAAAAAATAAGAGCAGGTGAAATTCAAAAAATCAATTATCTACTGTAATAATTTTTCTACCTCATCAGTTTCATATCCAAGGGAGTGAACTGCGATGGTGGCTGAACATTATGTTGGTGGACATATGTGATGTGCTGAGCCAGTCTCAAATCATTTTCTCTGTCTGCCTTGTCTTGTATCAGCCACAGCAAATCAAACCTAGACAGTAGTGCAGCGGGCAGCTGGATATTCTGCTCAATAGACTTTTTGGGGTTGTATCGACCATATGCTGGGTTAGCTGCAGCCAGAATGGAGACTCGAGCATTTAAACTTGTCATGATTCCAGCCTACAAAATTCATAACAATAGTGAAAGTAGGTAATTATTATCTAAAAAGCAATTTTTTAATATTTCAAAAGGTGTCTAATGGCAAAAAAAAATGCAATATTCCAATTACAACGTAATGTCATATCTCAGTGTTTTAAGAAATTAATACCGAGAATGTGTAAATGATTGTGTGAGGATCATTTTTTTGACAATTTGGCAAAATTAAACTAACTTCAAACGATACTAAATTCATCATATTATACACTGTTTATATTATACACAATTAACATGTCTTCCTTATTTTTGCAATTAATTCCCACAATGAAAGTTTGTAAAGTAAAAATTTTAAAAGTTAGCAATGCAAAATTCTCCAACTCTTCAGTTGTCCAAATGACTATATTGCTGCTCTCCATATTTTGACAACTAATCTATCAATCATTACCCCCGAGATCTCGTGAAAAATGACAGACATCTTTAAAATGCAAATCCACAGCATCTTTTAAAAACAATAGGGAATGGTACTGGTTAGCTATTTAGCTAAAAATAGAATTGAAACAGAACAAATTTGGAATTTTCAATCATATTACGAAATGTCATGTATATTTAAATTAACAGCTATTCACTTACGTTCTAAAGAATAAACAACAAGAAATCTGTTTTACATATTAATATCTCTTGTTCTCATGTTTTTAAATATGTCAGTAATATCAGACACTTCCAATATAGGTTGTTAAACTATGTGTTAAATTGGGTATTTTTATTTTGAAAATTGAGAAAAATAATTTTTTTTTTTTGTTTTTTTTTTTTGGAAAAGGGTACCGTTTTGGGATACTAGTTAAATCAGGGAAACATAGGTAATCAAAGATTACGAAGCTCACCTCGACGAATGTTATCTACATGTAAGGCAAATTTCACATCATATTTTTTTTCTAGTTAGGGTACATCCAAAGATCAATATCCATGCAAGTTTGATTTAATTATAGACCTGCTCAAAAAACTTTTGACCTGTTTAGTAATCAAGAAAATTTTGGTCAGTTCCAACATCCAAAGCAAGTCTGGAAGTTTTCATCCTTAGATGCACCATCTATGCAAGTTTAATCATAACAGGCCATAATATTATATAGCTACTCCAAAAAAATTACCCTGGTCACTCATCTGGAAAATGTACATCAGATTCAGAATCCAAGGCAAGTCTGGAAGTGTCCATCCCTAGATACATCATCCATGCTAATTTGGTTAAAATATGGCTAAAATTCACTCATGTGGAAAATCTAGGTCAGATCCAGCATTCAAAGCAGGTTGGTTAGTGTACATCCCTAGATGCATCATCCATGAAAGTTTGGTCCAGGTAGGGCTTATAGTTACTTGGGAACGAGACTACTCCTAAATCTAAACCTGGTCACTCATCTGGAAAATCTAGGTCGGATCCAGCATCCGAAGCAAGTGTGGTAGTGTCCATCCCTAGATGCATCATCCATGCAAGTTTGGTCCAGGTAGGCTTATAGTTACTTGGGAATGGACCTGCTCCTAAAACTTTAACCTGGTCACTCATCCAGAAAATCTAGGTCAGATCCAGCATCCGAAGGAAGTGTAGCCATGTCCATCCCTAGATGCATCATCCATGCAAGTTTTGTCAAGGTAGGGCTTACAGTTACTTGGGAATGGACCTGCTCCTAAAACTTTAACCTTGTCACTCATCCAGAAAATCTAGGTCAGATCCAGCATCCTAAGCAAGTGTGATAGTGTCCATCCCTAGATGCATCATCCATGCAAGTTTTGAAAAGGTAGGGCTTATGGTTACTTGGGAATGGGACCTGCTCCTAAAACTTTAACCTGGTCACTCACCTGAAAATCTAGGTCAGATCCAGCATCCGAAGCAAGTGTGGTAGTGTCCATCCCTAGATGCATCATCCATGCAAGTTTGGTCCAGGTAGGGCTTATAGTTACTTGGGAATGGGACCTGCTCCTAAAACTTTAACCTGGTCACTCATCTGGAAAATCTAGGTCAGATCCAGCATCCGAAGCAAGTGTGGTAGTGTCCATCCCTAGATGCATCATCCATGAAAGTTTGGTCCAGGTAGGGCTTATAGTTACTTGGGAATTGGACCTGCTCCTAAAACTTTAACCTGGTCACTCATCCGGAAAATCTAGGTCAGATCCAGCATCCGAAGCAAGTGTGGTAGTGTCCATCCCTAGATGCATCATCCATGCAAGTTTGATCCAGGTAGGGCTTATAGTTACTTGGGAATGGACCTGCTCCTAAAACTTCAACCTGGTCACTCATCTGGAAAATCTAGGTCAGATCCAGCATCCGAAGCAAGTGTGGTAGTGTCCATCCCTAGATGCATCATCCATGCAAGTTTGGTCCAGGTAGGGCTTATAGTTACTTGGGAATGGGACTTGCTCCTAAAACTTTAACCTGGGACGCCGACGCTAACGCCGACGGTATAGCATAAGCTCATCTCGACTTCGTCGAGGTGAGCTAAAAAATGCTGAATTCCAAACTTTAGTAACCTACTAAAGATAAGAAAATGTTACCTTAGCAATGGAGATGGTTTGCTGCTCCATGACCTCGTGGATTGCAGTCCTATCTGCCTCCATCATCTTGTCAAACTCATCAATACAACACACGCCCTGATCAGCCAGGACCAACGCTCCGCCCTCTAGAGTCATCTCTCCTGTGATTGGGTCCTTCATCACGGCTGCTGTCAGACCAACCCCTGAGGATCCCCGTCCAGTGGTGTACTGACCTAAAGTTAAAATTGCATAAATAAGAGTTCATATTTTAAATTTTTTGCGATGAAAGATCAAAAGAACATCTAATCTACTCATTCATACTTAATTACATATATTGCATTAAATTTACAACTCCACAAATATAAATGGGGGCTCTGCTGCAAGAATCTTACTTCTAGGAGCCAATCTGTCAATGTATGATAGCAACTGAGACTTGGCCACACCAGGGTCTCCCATCAAACAGATGTTGATGTTACCTAAAGGAACACACATTTCATACATATCAATGTTTGAAACATTATTGACATTTACATACAAATGCAACAAACAAAATGTGTCAAACAATAATATTTGAGTAAAGTAATATCCTCTACCTCTGATTTTCATGCCTCGAGGAGATTTGTCCACTCCCCCTACCAGAAGTAATAGGAGGGCCTTTTTAACATCCTCATGTCCATAGATCTCAGGTGCAATGCTGCTAGCCAGTTTATCATAGAAATCATCCTCTGCCACCTGTTTGATTTCATCTTCTGTCAACTCCTCAGCTCCTAATTCGTCATCCTCTGTTTTATTCATCTTTACAACTCTCTGTATACCAAAAGTAAAATTACCTTAACAATTGTTAAATATGAATTCTTGGAATTAAGATATCATAAAGCAGTAGATCTCTTTTTAAATAGTGTAAATGAATTCAATGCTATTTCAAGACTTTCAAAAACACATAGAAGTTTTAACACACATGCCATTTTATATCAATTTCACTTACATGTGCTTCCATGTATGTTTCTGACAAAAGTCCCTGTTGAAGTTGTCCATAACCTTGTTTCATCAAAGGTAGAAATACCTTCACCGAGTTAAGGAAATATCTAACTTGAATTCAATATTAATTCTGAACTATCTGAAATCTGAAGATCTTATGAAAGCTGAATTCTGCAAAGTATGTTTTTTCTTAAACAAAAATGCCTAATAATTGAAAAAAAAAAGAGAGCATTGACACTTTTCACAAAAAATCTTACGACTAAGATAAAAATTTGACGACTCTGTAGTTTTTTTGTTTAATAAATATATTTATCTAGTTCAACAATATTTTTACAATGTAATCTCATGTAATAGAAATATAAGATTTTTTGTGACCTACTACAGCTTAGATACTTTTTAAGGAATGCGGATATTTTTGTCTTAGTCGTAAGATATCTTTTACTTATCCTTGATAACACAGAGAACCGACACAGAGAATAGATTCTGAGTTAAGGATACACCTGTTATGCTGATATGGTCCCCTGGCAAGGCACATCTCGTCGTTTCCCCACGGCATATCACCGTCATACTTCTGGGAATATTTCCCACTGGAACTTGATCACTCTGAAATCAGTGATATCATTCAAATAATTTCTTTTTATCCAACACTAAATGCTATGAGTTTATTAGTGTATATATTCATAGAGGTGTGAACACTGAAGTTTTTTTCTCTGCTTGTATGAATAGAGATAAACATTATCTCCCTCTGTTAATTGTGTAAGAAGTAAAAAGGTTAACTGTGCTCATTGTTGCTGATTTTCATACAAATTGTGAAGCTGCCAATAGGTTTGTTTTTCTAATCGGGGGAAAAAATTTCTTCTTTGTAATTATATAAAACAAGAAGTCTGTGAACGAATGCTCACTAGTAATACATCGAATTCATACAAAATGAATCCCACCATTTGGCACACCTAAACAAAGATTGTGCTAAAATTTCAAGATCTGCACTGAGCAGTTGTTGAGAAAACTGTGACGGAAATTTGGAACAGACAGACAAACGGATAAACAAGAAGTTGACATCGGATTCAATCAAAAATGAATCCCACCATATGGCATGCCTAAACAAAGAGTGTGCTAAAATTTCAATCATCTGTGATGAGCAGTTGCTGAGAAAACTGTGTCAAAAATTTGTTAAGGACAGATGCATGCATGAACAGGAAGTTGACATCCGATTTGAACAAAAATGACTCCCACCATATGGCATGCCTAAAGAAAGATTGTGCTAAAATTTCAAGCATCTACGCTGAGTAGTTGCTGAAAAACTGTGACGAAAATTTGGTATGGACAGACACAGACACACAAGGGTAAAACAGTATACCCCCCTCTCCTTCGGAGCGAGGGTTATAATTAATATGCAGAACTAAAAAAATTGGACTAAATTGCAATAGCAGTAACTGTGATGTGACATTAGGATAAACATATTTGTTATATTCTGTGAAGAAAAGTCTCTATATTCTCTATATCAAGAACAGTCAACATAATTGATATTAGCTCCTCCGAAAAAAATTGATGGTCATTTAATTTGTACCATTGATCTGCAAAGAGAGTTTTCCCCCAATATTATTGATTCTCATTCTGGTTAGTAAACTGATTTATTGTGATGTAAGCCTTACACCCAAAGTCTTAAGGGCTGGTAGCTCTGCAGTTGAGTTGCTGAATGTTAATGAATAAAATCAAAATACTATTTCATTGATTGTTTTTTTTTTTATAGAACAAAACAATTATTGACGTTATTTTCGGGCAAAATTAATTGTTTAAGCCCCCTCGGGATGAAAATATTGCCCTCCGCTCCACATTGGGTGATATTTCATCCCTTGGGGGCTAACATAATCAATGTTGCCCTAAACTCCAGTCAATATCTATGTATATATGTATCATTCATATACGTACATGCTCTTGTATTTTGATTTCCTGGAACTTGACAAACTTTGAGCCACGACTCTGTAAATACAATCTTCCACCAGATCTGTTGGTGGTACATTCTTGACTAGGGCACATAATCAAAGGCATAAAAGATGGAGAGTTTATCTGTAAATACAAAATGCATATAATTAGAGAGAACTTAATTTAAGTTCAGTCAAATCTCATATTTTTATCTTTGTTGAACATCGTCTAAAGAATATTTTTGTAATGTATATGTTACTTCTGTGCTAGAATTTTTCACAACCAATAAAAAGAAACTTTTCATTTTCTAAAAAGTTATTTTGTTAAAGATTACCTGCAGTAGCGTTTTATTTTTTGAAATGATAAAGATCACGATAAAATAATACGAAAGAAAAAAACCGCATCGAAATCTATGCACAAATAACGAAGTTATCGCGCTTTAAAAGTGCCTATTTTTACCTGTTTTGAAAATCCAATCAAGCGAAAATAGAAATGATCGATAACGAGGCTCTACTGGCGTGACGTCACAACATGTACCGCATAAGCGGGTCAGTATTAACGGCAATGAGATTAACTTGGAAAACAACGACTATTTTAGCTTTGATATGAGGCATTGGTCTTTAATTTTTAAAAATTCAGACGGAATAATTATTGAACTTTGCATAAGACCTTGCTAGGCTGAACCAGAAACCGATTCTAACGAGGCATTTAGATTTCAAAACAGCCTACAGCCAGGGTCGTGTATACTACAATTAAAGTTCCTGTATATATCTCCCTGTTACAGCCTACTGAATATGACTGTAAAAAAAATTCATCAAAACCAAAATACAGGAATTTTCAATTCTATATTTTCAATGTCCTAAAACAGTTCGTTCATCAAGCTGTTAACTATTTCACAAGATCTTCATAACTATCGGCTTAATGATAATTGACAATTTTCTCGTCTGGATAAAAATTCTTCTATGTCTAAATTTGATAATCAGTTGTTACCATTTAGCAATCAGCAGCAACAATATTATCAATTTAATTTTACTTCAAAGTCACAACCAAATATATTTTCAAAAATCGGGTCATTCTCAATATACAAGTAATTAAAACTAATTGTTAAATAATGATACCCGTGTACTCCTAATTATGGTAATGTACTTATAATTTTTTTTCTGTCACTGTACTAATTAAAATTAATTTACAAAATAAAAATTTAAAACACGTTACATTATATCAAATAGTGTGTCTGCAATGCTAAATAAATCTTAACCACTCTCATCTCTCTCTCTGTCTCTCTCTCTCATCATATCCTTCTTATGTAGTCTTCAGATATCTTTGATATAATTTTTTTTAAAAACACATTAAGGTTAAAAAAATATGCATACAAAGTGCAGAACTGTAAAGTACCCGGTTCTTCAAATAATAGTCTACGGTCCTAATTACAGAAGACCCCCCTCCCCTTATCAAATCTGTAATAGATTCGGAAACAAAACTCATATGTAATTCCGATCGTTAGCGGTTTTATGAATAATTTAAATTCTAAATGTATGTTGAATTTAGAAGAATAACATGTCAACTGAGAAAAAAAAATCATTTTTTCAAGTTATCACTAATTCAACAGACAATATATTATAATTCAGTAAAATATGAACAAAAAGTTAGGTGAATATACGTGTGTTTTGTATATTTTTTTAAAACTGTATACAAATCACCATTTGACAGACTAAACAGTTTTAATTAATTAAAGTGTAAATCTAATCTATCAGATTTTTCAACAAGTTCTTGGTAATCGGTTTTATTTACACGTGTGGTGGGGTAGGACTTGGGATTACGTGATTAATACACTTGCTATGGTCAAGACCGATGACTTGGAAAGGTGTGATAAACATTCGGTGCCTCCGGCTATTTACTTATGTCCCACTATGTATTTGACAAAGGAGCCGATGAATGTCTCAAATTGCACCATTCAAGATTGCGTCGAGTGATTTTGATTGACAGGTGAAACACGTGGATTTCGTATGTAACCAGGGAGACGAACATGTTACAGGTCCCTGTTGTAGTAAAATAAGAAACACGAATAAATAAAAGTTGAATAAGCAAGAAATTTATTTTAAAATGGCTTTGACAGATTATGTAAGAAAGATGAATACAGAAGCACTTGTTTGAATCAAAAAATTATGTGTGTGTGTGTGTGTTGGGAGGGGGGGGGGGGTACTAATAAATTCAACTGACGTTAAAAATGAACAATCCAATTTAATAATAAAAATGTTACTGATATTGAAGATATAACGAAGAACATAAAATTAAATAACATTTGTTGAATCAATTATATGGGGAGGGGGGTTAAACAAGGGAATCTCTCACTCACTCTCTCATATTAATTCTATGTACTTCCCAATACTAAGTAATAGAAAAATATATATTCTATACTTTCTCTTTTCAAAGAATACAACAGCAAACATCAAATAAGTACTTACCAGGGACCTATACACTAACCCTGTACCTACTATTTTTTATTTAAATTAGAAATGTTTTCTTTTATTAACGTACGTTTGTGTACTGTCTTTTTGTGATTATTGCTTACAAATAGAATTTTAACAAGAGGCCCAAGGGCCACATCGCTCACCTGAGCACTGTGGCTAGGAAAAAAGGAAAAATCAGTTTAGTATTGAAAAGCTTAAATGCATAAGTGGTCCCAACCTACCCTAAAAATGGAGTGGGGGGGGGGGGGGGTGGGGGGTGGTCGTCATGATTTGAACAAACTTGAATCTACACTATCTGAGGATGCTTCCGTATAAATATGACAAACCGTGGCTTTGCTGTTCTCGAGATTTTTAAAGATTTTTCCTATATATTCCTATGTAAAACTTTGATCGTCCATTGTGGCCCCACCCTACCCCCAGGGGTCATAATTTGAACAAACTTGAATCTACACCACCTGAGGATGCTTCCACATAAATATGACCAATCATAGCTTTGCTGTTCTTGAGAAGAAGATTTTTGAAGATTTTTCCTATGTACACCTATGTTAAACATTGATCGTCCAATGTGGCCCCACCCTACCCCTGGGGGTCATGATTTGAACAAACTTGAATCTACACCACCTAAGGATGCTTCCACATAAATATGACTAATCATAGCTTTTCTGTTCTTGAGAAGAAGATTTTTGAAGATTTTTCCTATATATTCCTATGTAAAACTTTGATCGTCCATTGTGACCCCACCCTACCCCCGGGGGTCATGATTTGTACAAACTTGAATCTACACCACCTGAGGATGCTTCCAAATAAATATGACCAATCATAGCTTTTCTGTTCTTGAGAAGAAGATTTTTGAAGATTTTTCCTATATATTCCTATGTAAAACTTTGATCGTCCAATGTGGCCCCACCCTACCCCCGGGGGTCATGATTTGTACAAACTTGAATCTACACCACCTGAGGATGCTTTCAAATAAATATGACCAATCATAGCTTTGCTGTTCTTGAGAAGAAGATTTTTAAAGATTTTTCCTATATATTCCTATGTAAAACTTTGATCGTCCATTGTGACCCCACCCTATCCCCGGGGGTCATGATTTGAACAAACTTGAATCTACACTACCTGACAATAATTCCACATGAGTTTCATCTTTCCTGGCCCACTGGTTCTTGAGAAGAAGATTTTTCAATAATGCCATTAATTTTTTGCTATTTCGTAATTATCTCCCCTTGGAGGAGGGCGTGGCCCTTCATTTGAACAAACTTGAAACCCCTTCACCCAAGGATACTTTGTGCCAAGTTTGATTGAAATTGGCCCAGTAGTTCTGGAGAAGAAGATGAAAATGTGAAAAGTTTACGACAACAACGACGCCGACGACGCCAACGCCGACGACAGACAACGGACAAATTTTGATCAGAAAAGCTCACTTGAGCCTTCAGCTCAGGTGAGCTAAAAAATGTCAATACATATTTGGAAGGAAAAAAAAAATTATGATATAATTGGCATAATCCATCGATTCCTAATTATTGGAAAATATGAATCGATGATTTTTGGCGATTCCTAGTATCGTTACTTATTATAACCCAGACTTGTCGAAATTTTCAAATCATTGTCAGACATTTGGTCGGACAAAGTCAAATATTCTGTCGGACCAGTCAAAGTTTTGTCAGACCAGGTACATGTACCTTATTTTGACGCTGTGAAAGTCATATGAATAACAGCACCAAAATGCCCTGGATTATTTTCAACAGCCTTCAATCTTACAAGTTTCCTTCCTTGGGATAGAAAGTCTTTAATAAAAGACATAAATGACATGTTTTATGACTTTGCTATAACAAATTTAATTGGCTATCGTCAACACGCCGCGTATGCGGCCATTTTTCCTGTGTTTGTGACCCTCAGCTGCGCATCCCGATCCCGACCTTTATTAAATTTGCATCACGCTCGATTTTTTCAAACGGTCATCTGGACCGATGTTTTCTTAAAAGTTGTCGGTCCAGACAAATTTTTACCACAAGTCTGTAACCACACACAAAGAAATGATGAAAAAATATTCACTAAACTAATTTCAAACAAAACTAGGAACTAATACTATAGTCATAGTTAATTTAATATTCACAAAATCCCTAAAAATTAATGAAAAAACATTAAAAATCCTCATCGTGTTTCCACCGTATTCTATGCATTCAAAATTGCAGGTACATGTTATGACGTCACAGCGGCTAAGGCCCAAAAGCTGAGCGTTTCAGAAAATCGCTCAGGTGTGAAATAGGGTTTTTGCTCAACAGCTTCGTTAGTTGTGCATAGATTTTGGTGCGGTTTTTTTCTTTAGTTTTATTTTACCATGATCTTCAACATATTTAAAAATAAAGAGCCACTGCAGGTTCCCTTTAAAAAGTGTTCTGGGAATTAACTTGAATGTCAGACAAGTGTTAAATTGTTCACCAGTTATCGGGTTTTAAGTAAACATTTCTAAATATTTCTAAATATATGGACTATGTTCATCCAGATAATTTCCTTTGGAATATTTGTACCTCCTTTTATACAGTAAAGGTACTAGTCTAATTTAGCTAAGTCATACATCTGAATTCCTGAACTTTTATAGTAAAGGCTACTAATCTAATTTAGCTATGTCATGTACATATAAATTTCTGAACTTGACATGGAGCTCCTTCTCACTGAAGTTGAAGTTAAGACACATCAGCTAGATAGAACACCAGTGTTATATACTCTTAAAGTTACAAGAATATTTTTAGAAGTATATCACTTAATACTAATCAGCAGGTAGCATATATAGTATATACATACGCCATTTTCACAGTATTTGCAGTGATTCATTTTGAAAATGGTTATCATGGGTCCAAAGGACCCCTCTTAATGACAACAATGAGTCCCATGCCAAAATCAATGGGTCCAAATCCAAGGGTACCATATATTATTTTTAGATGTTAAAGAGGAAATTCTGGTGAAATAAAAAAAAGTGTATTGCACGAAAGTGCAAATGTTTTATTGTAGTTGTGAGTGATTTATACTTTTACTGTTAACTGTCCAAGTAAGGGTACATGATTTTGTGTCATAAAAATAATATATTGTCCACTGTTCACTTTGGTTCTATTTTTAGATCGTACATACGATCTCACACATTGTCAGCTGATTGTATCAGTAATAAAATGCACAGAAGCAGAATGAAGTCAAAAAAGAGTTTAAGAAGAAATGGCAAATAGTCAGAAAAAAAAAAAAAAAAATTTTTATACTTCTTAGCTTGTAAGGAAGAAACGAAAAGGAAAAAAAAACAATGATACAGGTTACAGCTTAAATACAAAGGTCTAGTATTTGCTTCAGAAACGTTCCATGGTATAGACATAATCAGTGATAATCGAACTGTGCTATCTAAATTTCAAATATTTTCTGATAATTGCTTTTAACTGCAGTTGTTAAATCTGACCTGTTGTTGGCAACCTTATATCTGTTAAAATCGTTCATGCATATCGCTTAGCACGTGGATATGATGCAATCGGTCAAGTTTTGAATCAGATTATACTGAAATAATTTACAATAGTACATGTCCTTCTATAAATTTATTGCGTCCATTGGGATGCACATTTATTGAAATAATGCGTCCTGAGCAAAATTTGTGCGTAATTTACGCGGGACGCACACCAAAATGAATCACTGTATTTGTGTTTTTTCATACTCACTTATGTTATAATGCACTCTGCATCAAAATATATGATTAAACCCTTAACAATTATGACCAAATTATGACAAAATGGTACCCCTAACAAGTTAAATGATATATAACACTCCCATGTTCTAGATAATAAAAATATTAAAGATTTACTACCTAAAATACGGGGTATATTTTGCATTATGCTGTTGCAGCTGAAAAATGGCTTTGTTTTCCAGTTTTTGTTTCAGGAGATTTACAATAGAAACTCTTAGTTATAGATGTCAAATCATTGTGAAATTATCCCTCTGTTATATGCAATTTACTGTATGTAAATCAACAAAATATTAGCGAAATAATGTTTAAATATGTGAAAATGCAGATACGTTATGAAATTTAATAAAATTCTACTGTTTGAACTTGCAGTTTAAAAAAAAATATGTTAATGCATTACTCTTACTTTAGGTTCATTTTAAAATTAGAGTTAAATGATAAATGAAACAATAAAGAAAAGTTTGAGTGGATTCTTCGAAACTTTAGAAAATGACACATTTTCTTCTTACTGGCATAAAAATGTCCCAAAATTCTGTAGTGTCCGCAACATGTGCTTATTCTGGAATGCATTATGAATTATATTTCTTTTATTTTACATGTAAGAGGCCAGTACAGCTACTAATCTATCTACCAAAAAATATCAGACTTTAGCTCAGTGTTGCTTGGAATTCTGGCAAATATATTGTGTTTTGTAGAGTCCGCAACGCTGTAGAGTCCGCAACAGCTTTTTAAATTCACAGTTTCTTCAAAGAAATGTAACATGATTTCAATTGATCATCACTATAATTGTCCAAATATTCAATACAAATATGTAAAATTACAAAACTTAGTGGAACTATAACTTCATACTTTGAATAACACCCATAACGACTTGTTTATACATAATATTCAAAATCTTTCAATTGTCAGTCTTATGTTAAATATTGAAAGTTAATTTTCATGTGGTATTTAAAACTGAATAAGTGGAGACTAAAGAATATATCAAGATGTTAATTGTTAATTAATAAGTCTAGTTCTAATTAATACAGTTGTGTTGCGGACACTACAGTAATAACTATATACCACATTCATTTATTATTTTCACTTTTTATTTCATTAAATATTTTTGAAATGTGAAACACTTCTCTGATATTTTGCTCCTTTGATAATACAATTAGTTAACTGGATTAAGATAACAAATGGTGATTTTTGTACAAGATAACACTTCAAACTTACTGGTATATATATGGGTTTTAATTTCCAGGCCGGATAGCCATTTTTGACTAGCCTTCTTTATTTCCCTATAATATAACACCATTTACTGTACATATAGAACTAGTTAGAGATTAAGATTTAAAGTTTACTCCATTAAAACCAAATATGGTGTCATATAGCAATATTTCAATATATTGTAGTGTCCGCAACAATTTCAATACTGAAAAAAAAATTTATGGATGCCTCAGTAAATTCTTTAATTCATTGAATTTATCTATAAAACTATTTGTTATAACTTCTTTAATTGTATTAAAATAAGTAAAATCATAGACATTTTTTAAAACTGCAAAACAATTATACATCAAGAAATAATTAATGCTCCTTGTTATGTGGTTATTTTCATCTCAATAAACCACATTCTGCATCTTTTTATATGGTACATTTTCAAGAGTTGATGCTGTGGTATATAATTCAGCCTAGAAATGAACATTTATCAACAATTATTTTTATAAAAATGACAAAAGATTATTCTTATGGTTACTTGTAGTGTCCGCAACAAAAATGCTATGCATTTTCAAAGGTGTATACAAAAGAAGATATCCAGGGTGTTATGACAAATGTATTTGAAATTTAGAAGTATTCAATTTAATTTTCACATGATAATTATATAGGTCTTATGTGTGATTGTAAAGGTAGATAACTTAAGGAAGGGAGATAAATTAGGCAAAAAAATTATCAAGTCATTAATGTGAATAAAATTTTTGTTTTCAAAGAGAACCATAAGATTTTTCTTTTATTTCACTGCAATTAGGTACATAATCGAAACCCGCAAGAAGTTTGGAATAAATAAATATCTTTAATATTTTTATTTTAGACATAACAGGTGTAATGTAGTGTCCGCAACACAAGGTCTCGCCCAAAATTATACTTCGCATAACTTTTTTTGTAAGAATGCTTATATAAAAAAAATTTGGGACTCATTTGCATAGGTATTGTACTTTCTAGAAAACATGTCAATAATGCGCTGTTTGACTTTTTATTTTTTGGTCCAAGTGCAACACAATTAGCACAAATACTGTGAAAATGGCGATAACATTTTTTTTTCTTTTTCTATGTATGTACTTACAGGTTGATAAGTTTCATTTCCACATGTATCACAGGTGTAAGTTGCCACAACCATCATTGGTTTCACCTCTGTTGTCCTTGTCACAATGCCCTTGACCTGAACCAGCTTTCCAATGCAGTTTGCTTTCACCTCTCGAATCAGCTGATGCTTTTCATGGCTTGGGGCCTTGAAGTACACCTCACTACAAAAGAAAGAAATTTCAAAAATACATCAATCTTAACATGTATAATTACTCTTTTGGTACAATTATCAGAATTTGCCATATATGTTTAAATTTTACTATTGTCTATATATATTCCGATAAACATGCTAATATTTACCAAACCTTGTGACAGCTGAGCAGTCCAAATTAAACATAATTTCCCCTTCATCATATATTGGTAGAACGTGAAGTAGATATTTTAGAATTACATGTAACTAAAATCATTAAACCTATACAAAATTTTGGCAGAATGACAGGGATCGACACTAACTTTTAAACCATAGTCGCCCGCAGGGCTAGCAATTTCTAATTTCTACTAGCCCTGATCATGAATTAGTTGTCCAGCAGCCAAAGGCTGCTGGCGGAGTCGCGAAGCGATGAGTAAGGTAGGTGCGGGAGGGGGTTTCCCCCTTCTGCTGGTGGGGGTACCGGGGGCCTCCCCCGGAAAATTTTAAAAATAGAAAATTCTTTTTGAGTAAAATTATATGTCACTTCATGACTGAACAAAAGATGTTTTTCTTATTGAAAAATTCCACATTTATAGTCATTTAGGGTATTCTGTATTACCTTTTACATTTTGACTGCAAACAATCTGATTAAAAAGTTCGTAACTGGTTACTTAGTATTAAAGAAAAGTCAGGTATATGAAAAACCAGATCTACATTACAAGGCAAGTCCATCTTTGATACAGTCAAAAATGTATGAAAAGGAAAATTGATATCAGAAACAGAATATTATTATTTCTGTATAACATGAACATACCGGCTTGCTTGTATAGATCTGTGTGAAATATATTTCAGTGTTTGATAAAAAGATCAACACTGACCAATATATACCCAGGCTAATCTTTAATAGCTGTTGCTTTTTCATACTTTAACTTTTATATTCCTTGCATTTAAAGAAAGCTACATGTTACAAAAATATCTGACATATTCAGCAAGTGTGCAGCTTGTGCATTTTGTTCAGTTGTGGTCATGTACACACTTGATTCGAAATAACCTAAACTGTAGGGGACTACAAATGCAGTAATTATTATTATTATTTTTTTAATTTTGAGGTGTTGTCAAAAACAATAAATGCTCATGGAAGCTTTTAAAGACTTATCGCTTGTTTCTATATTATTTGAAATTAAAAGCGTAAAACATTCACTATGACCACAGTTTATATATTTTGTGTTTTTACTGCGGATAAACCGTGGTAATTAACCAATTATTGACTCAAATGAAAACCCCCTAAATTAAAAATCTAAGTTAATTAGATAGCGATCACGTGACCCTGTGACGTCAAAGACGACAACTGCCGATCAGTTCTTCACCTTAATCTTACTAAAATATACGCGATACAACCTGAATTTTCTGCGTTGTGGATGATACAATCACTGATTTTATCGATATGACAGGGGTTCAAAATTCCTCAAGCCCGACGTCCCAGACTAACAAATTCCGGATCCGGACTCGGCATTTAGAATCGCCGAAAGTCCTGGGACTTGGCAATGTTTCTTGTTTATCTTTTATTTAAGTTAAGAAAAAAGTTCGTAAAACTAAAAATAAAGCAAATTCTCAAATGTAGTCAATAAAAATGTGGATTTTTTGGCGTTAATATACCCATAAAACATTACGAACGTCTCAAAAATACAATCCGTCTTTTTATGTTCCGTTGCGGTTAGACACCTGCTTTTACGCAATTTCTCATGTTTCCTCCCATATGACATGAGTTTGTTAAATTTTGGTTTTACCAGTAAAGGAACGAGAAATAAAAGACCCCGTGAGGAACATGAAGCTGGGGATAAAAAAAAAACAATTCCAAAGACGGAACCTATGACAAGAAGAGAGTTCGCGAATTCCAAAGCCACTGGCGTGATGATAGGCCGTGGCTTGATTACAATGACGATACGAAAACGATGTTTTGTTCATTTTGTCAAAGTTTTCATGTATGACTATGTAACAGTGACTGTAATGCTGTATGGAGGAAAAATAAAACATATATTCATACATATAGTCTTTATTCATTCAATGCAACAAATGAAAATAAATTATAACATAAATTTAATGATGGTTTAAGTAAATATAATTTTATCTATCATGAAAATATGGACTCAGAAATTTCTTCTTCGGACTTGCCTAAAATTTACTCTTTAAGTCCTGGACTTGACCATGATAAAAAAAATTTTGAACCCCTGTATGAAATTTAAAGTCCATCCTTATATTTTAGAATTGTCAGCAAGAAAAAATCTGTTAACATTGTAAAAATAGCAGCGACGATATCGAAGGAGACGCGGCGAAGACGAAGAAACTCGCCATCACAATACAATTTGATTTGTCATCTTATCACATGTATTAACTTATTTGATTCACAAATTTAATATTGTACAACTTTGTTATTCTTTGTTTTTTGTATAACTTTAATTTACTTGTGTTTTTTAAAGGATGGCGGTCTTGAAAAATAATTTTCTGATCACGAAACATTGCCGTAATCGGAGCTGTACAGATTCTAAATGTTCGAATAAAAAACAAAAATATCTCAAAAGCCTTATACCTTACAACTAGTTAATGTTTCTAAAGTAATTGAAAAGCACGCTAGGAATTAATTTTTTCATCATTTTTCGTAATTAAGCTGCATTTGTCGTTGATAACTCCGTAAATAGTGTGCATATTCTCATCTCTCTTTCACTGAATTGTCGCCTATGACGTCAGAGCTGTATTTCGCCGAAATCCGACTGTAATATGCATATTGCTGTATTTGAATTTCAACTCTCAATATCTCTTAATATATGCTTTCAACAACATTTATTGTATTCAGTATTTTAATAAACAAGGTTGTAGATAATATTTTTCATAAAATTACGATTTTTTTAAAGATATTGTGATAAGTCCTTTAAAATTGCTGTTCTATCAATCTGTCAATTCCTAATACATGATCGTGTTTCACCCACCAACAATGCTATGACATGGATGAGGAAAACCATGCAATGTTTTCAACACGAATATTTCTTCAATAAGGATAATTTAATCAATTAAATTGCTTATTTTTTAATTAACACATGATGTTTATCTCTTTAATTTTTTTTGTATCTGATAAGTCTTTTGATAACTGGTTGGTTGTCACACATGTGGATGTGTTGTGCAATGTAAAGCGATAAGGTAAGTTACCAAGAATCGCGAAACACAGGGCGATTCGGAAAATAACAAAATTGGGACTTGTGCATTTTTAAATTAATTTTTCAATGCTTTGAGTGAGTGTTTGATAATAATTGCAGTAGCCCTGCAGGACAAGCTCGAAGACATGTTTAGTAGCCCGACCTCAATTTTCAGGTGTCCCGGGCTAGCGGGCTACCGTTAGTGTAAAAAACTGAAGAAGTATTCACACACCAAAAGACCTTTGGTATCTATGTCAACACCTCTTGTTGACATTAAAATATTTTTTATTTTGTTGCATTGTATGTAATGAAATCAGACCAAAACTTGTCATTCACACTAAAAACTACCAAGAGATTATCATCAGTATATAACTTACAATCTCCTCATAAGCTCTGCTGGGTATTTATTCCTGGGGTCTCTGGTTATTTCTTGACCATCAGGATGGTTCCTCTGCTCCATCAGCAACCTGTGCTCGATGTAAACATCAAGGGCATCTTTGTGGACCACCTTCAATAAACCACACAGCAAATCTATTCTATCTTTTCAATATTCAAAGAAATCCTTGTTAATTCAAATTTTTTTATAATTTTTGCACAAACATGTAATTATTTACTTATTATGCATCGAAGTTTAAATTCACGAAAAAAAAAGAAAAGAAAAAAGATTAATAACATGCCTCTCTTTCTTTGTAATCTGGTAGAATCTCTTGAATGGCATCAGCAAAAAGTGCAGTGTATCTGCGAGTGTTTTCTTCAATAGCGTCTTTGAGTTCTGGGTCAAAATCATTAATGTTGTCTAGATCAATGGTCAAGGCTACCTGTTCTCTGTGGGCTATTTTGACCTGTCAAAATACAATCATAACTCGAATGGTGTCCATATGTTATGTAGTTAAACACCCAATTTTATGTTAACGCCCCCAAAATCTACCTAATTCAAGATCAATAATATACCGCCTGTCAATCATTAAAAAAACAATAGCTTCTGATTTGATTGACGGGCCAGCTACGTGGGCTACCTGATAATCTGAGTTTTCATGTTTTGAAATCAATTACCTAGTCACGCGTCAAACGCTTTCATGTCCCGCATGAATGGTCGCTTTGTATACACTATGGTTAAAAAAATCATGTCGCTGTTATATTGGTTGTTTATTTTTAAAAAATGAGTAGATAATTAAACAGTGACTTCGTGATTTTTTTTTCAATCTCCACTGCTGTTTTGTACTTGTTAGCGGTATGACGTCCGAAATAACTGTAGAACTTTTCGAAGAAAAATTAGCGGATATTCAAGCCCTCTCTTCTTTCAGTAACTGAGATCCGGAGAGAGAGAAGTTTCTGTAGTAACACAGACCGAAAATTCTTCCGAGCCCCTTATTCAACCTGTGCCTTGATTTTAAGAATGTACGTAATGCACTTGTCGACCTTGCACTTGGCTACACAGAAACTCAATTCGCCGTAATTAGAAACAATCGACCCCCTCTCCCACCATTGAAAATTATAACAAAATGCAATGGATTAAATAAGGAAAGATATTTATACTAATATAAATAAAGTATCTTGTATCTAACGCCATGAATTACGAAAGATTCTTTTTATGTCCAAATCTGTAAACAGGGCATAAGAACACGGACCCTCGGAAATGGCTAATATTTGGACACAATCGTTCGCCAGAAAAGTAAATAATATTCCGATGTGATAAATGTTCACACAATAAGTGGAATCTTTTTATTTTAATATTCATACTTAACATTTTATAATAATTTCTTTTATTGGCGATTAATGACAATATATTATCAGAAATGAGAACACGTGACTTTCTACATCGGAAAGCACTCAAATCCAAATCCGATGCGGATTGGAATGCTTACAAAGCGGCACGTAACCGAGTTGGAATCCAGATCAACGAAGCCAAATGCGAATTTGTAAAACCAAGAATATGTGGGACCGTATAAAGGAATTTCTTCCCTCAAAACAAACCAAATCTACAACAACACACTTAGAAGTCGACGGTGAAACAATAACTTGCCCCCAAGAAATCGCAAATAAATTCAATGACTTCTTTTCTAATATTGGACATAAATATGCTTCTAAATTTGACAATTCTCTACCCACGGTACCTCAACAAATGCCAGAAGGTTCGTTTTCCATACCTTTTGTTAGTGATACTTGATTGCTTTGTAGTTTTCACCCGTTTTTTTTTTTTATTATTATTAATTTTACGATTTTTAAAAAAGATATGTCTTCTTAATTTTTTTTATTCAAAAGATAACGACGAAAACGCTATAAGTCTACAAATTTTATATTTCAGTACCTAATTTATTTTAAATATTTTCACTCAAAATTATGCACAAAACGCGTAATGTTGACCCTGATTACCAAAAGCCGGACTTCCTGTATAATGCAGCGTGTATAGGGATTTTTGACATCTTGAGTATTGGGGCTCTCCAGGTAAATAACACCAGTACTTCTTAGACCACTCCCCCTCCTCAGGTAACCGTACGGTAAAAAAATTGGGTCTTTAATGGGCTTCCTGCTGATCCATGGATCTGTGCCTATATTATCACACTTTTTTGTATTTTAGTTCCCCGAGGCAATTCAAAACAAAACTGATTTCACATGTCTTTTTTGTCTCCATTGAAATCAAAATTAAGATGCATCATCTGTTCAAATACCTCGTGTATGGCTAATCATTTACTTTAATGTTTTAAAGTGATACAAACAATAGATAAATATTTAAAGTCTTTACCAATTGTTGTCCATAAACAAAGTCTTTTCCACCATCATCGCCGTCTACATAGAACTCCCGCAGGAATGTTTTGATCTTTTCTGCAACAAAAACATTTCATTTTAAACATGTTAAACTTACACATCTGCTGATGTATGATTGTTCAGATTTCTTGGGAGCATTACAAACCTTTATCTGCTGCGTAATCTCTAGGCGGCATTTTGACTTCTTAGCGTGATCTGCCTTTGTAAGCAACTATCCCGGAGTCCACCAAATATAACAACAATGCTTCGATTTATGGCGCGAAGTTCGTACCACGTGGTTTCAGTAAGAGGAAGTGACTGTTGAATGGATTAAAACATACCATTCGGATATTGTCGTTCACGGACCTTTTCACCTCAGTATTAAATGTTCACAAGGTTAGCTTTTAAAAAAAAGCTGAGAGTCAGCCACTGTTGTTGTGTTGTGTTCATTAAAAGTCATTGTCGTCTGAGTTAAAATTCGCCCAGCCGTTTTGTTATTTGTAACATAATGCTGTACATAATAAATAATAAAGCATAGAATAAATTTTAGTTAGGTTACATCGTGATCTTTATGATGACCTCCAATTAATTTCTCTTGGGCGCGGACATCAGATACAGTTCGTCTCAGAAATGAACAAAGCCACTGTGATCCAAATCATTGAACGTTGAAGAATGTATACATTTTCAATTTTACTGTTAAATTCTATAAATGATATAGATTATGATGCTTAAAAGGAAGGTAGACCTTGGGTTAGATTGTGTTAATTATTAGGTAAAAGTTTTTAATCGTGCAGGTTAGAGGCAATGCATGATAGGGGAGGGGGAGGGGTGCATACTGATTGTATATTTCATTCAATTTCTAAATTTAAGCATTCATTTTAGTGTTATTAAAAGAATTGCTTCCAAAATAAAGTAATAAACTGGAAATTCAAAATATTTTATACATACAGTACGCATACCCTAAAATGATACTGGATTCCATCTCGCTCACTCTCTCTAATTGGGGGGGGGGGGGGGGTCTATAAATCCGCGCAGTTTCGCTCATCTATCGCAGTTCTACTGTGGTCAGTTTCTCACCTGTGGGCGCGGTTCACGTTCACAAGCGGCACTTACATGTCTATCATCGTGTAAATTATAAGACTTTACACATCTTAAGTGATCTTCTGACGTTTTCATAACTTTCATCATTAAAGTGAAAAGAGATTCTTTTTTTTCACTGTTTTGGGACCTTTGTGCAAGTGGATTATTGTGTGAATTCCGACCCGTACATGTCTTATGCAAGGTATTGATCGAGGGAGTCTTGCATCAGGCATTCAGAGGAATACACACAAATCCGTGAACTTGCAACGGCGATTGAGGGTATATATATATCAAGTGTTAAATGTGCTCTGCATATAAATTTCTCATTTTCTATAAGAAGCACTGAAATATTTTCATAGTATCATATTTCCCACTTAGAACAATCTCTTCTTTAATTTTTCGTCGAGAACGACGAAGAACAATGCAGTCTGTAAATAGATCGAGGTCGCATCGTTGTTTAGAGGTGTTTGTGAAGAATCACGCCCTCTGGTTGGAGCAAATAGCACGAGTTTCTTCAGAACAAGTCGTGTACATCTTTTTCCCAGAATTCCAAATTACGCAAGCGCACTTGCAGTTTCATCCCACCGTAACTAGTCAGCCCGCGGGCTGACTAATGAATAGTTTTAATTTCTTTTATTTAATACACACATTCACTGTCTTTGATGAAGCTCAGAACAGTCATTACATGGAATAAACATTCATTTTCTTGAATGTGACTCTTTCAAATATATTTCTGTAACAAGGGTTTTTTCCTAATGAATGTTAAAGAACAAATCCTGTCTCAGGTTCGAATTCTTTATTATACAAAGCCACGTAGAATGTCAATAAAAATAAACAAAACCCTGATTGTGGATCAGGGCTTTAATAAAAGGCCACCCAATCAAAATAACGGGTCTTGATACATCGTCTCAGTATTAACTTATTATATCTAAAAAAAAAAAAGCCAAGGCCGTAAAGTTCTACCATTGAGGTTGGTGAGGCAAATGCCTCACTAATATTTTAGAGTTTTCTGAAAAGTAAAAAAAGTTTTACTTTGAACTTTAATTAATTATGTGTATCTTTGTACTAAGTTAATACTTTCAATTTCTGTAAATCGATCATCTCACAAGGTGCTTCATTATATAGCTTAAAACGCATGTTTAAAAAAAAATCAGAACGTGTAAACTTTCAAAGATTAAGTCATTAATTTGCTAAAACTCAGGTTTCGGGACCCCCTCCCCCGATAACCCCCATCAGGACTCTCTACCCTGGACCCTCTTGGGATTTGAGTGGCCCCCAAATCCCTTAAACTGCCTCACTAAAAATTTGGGCCTAGTTACGGCCTTGAAACTGTGAAAGCTGGCAAAATATGTATATAACTCTCGATGGTCTATGGATGTCTTTAGAAATCATCACACAAAGAGATCGGTGGGAAAACGTCCCTAGCCAATCGAAAGCTATTAAAACTGTCCAGTAACATAATATACCACAGGATAAGTAATACCATCTAGAATATAAGTAAAATTAAAAACAAAACATTTGTTGTAATGTTTTATTGACGGTGCGCGCAAAAATTTCGCGAATAACGAAACATTGCGCGATTCTAAAAATAATAGAATGAATAAATATTAAGTGACTGAAATAATTGCACAATATTAACTTAATAAAATAAATTAAAATATCAGTCTATCACGTATGCCCCCTCCATACGAAATGACGTCCTCGTCATTACACTTGGAGCATATATACACATCTGTATCAAATGCATGTTACTACTTACTTCTTGTCTAAAACAGCATTCAACATTGCCCTGCATACCATATTTACAGCATACTCTACATCTCGCATCCACTGGGGTGGTTTTGTAGTTCTTTTGGATCTGCGCATTGCTTCAACAATAAGATTTTATTATTATTTTTTTTAAATATAAAAAATGTACCAAAAAATAAACTTACAGGAAGCAAATAGACAAATTCCTAAAATATGTCTTGTGAGGGTGGATCTAGGACGCGCTTAATTTAGCCTGGGCGAACGAACATACATTCGATTCAAAGCTGAACATGCTCGGTCTGAGCATCTCACGGTTTCTACCTTGCTTTGGATTGGGTCTAATTTTGTCATTAATCCAAATTTTAAAATTATTTACGCATGAATAATGATCATATGTGAAATTTCAATCTTTAGTCATGACGCTTTCCAATTTTCATGGGTTTCACTCAGTCCGATACATTGTAAATAGGTCGTTTTGTGGTCAAGATATCTTAATTATTTTAGAAGAAATCTGCATTAATTTTCCAAACGCCATTAAAATCAGACAATTAGAAAGTAAAAGATTTAAGCGATTTAAAGACGCTTTAAACTATTGTTATATATATATATACGAGGGGTTATCAAAAAGTTCGTGGACTAGCGTCATAAAATTAAAACCGCTTTAGTTACATCAATGAATTTTTACACATTTAGTTAGCATCATCTTTTCTATCTATGGAATAAACCATAAATCATAATTTTTACTTTTTAATAAAATGTTAGTGTTTTTGTAAGCAGAAGTATGTCCAGGCGGCGCAACCTCTAATATGACGTTTTTTTTCTACCTGAGTGTAACTGAGAAAAACTCTTTAGATATGAGTATTTGTCATCAAAAAAATTCGTTAATTCAGGCATGTGGTACGACACATTTGTTCAGTAAAATTTGCAATTTTTACCCCATTCTGTAATTTCTATGAAATTTTATCGTAAATTTTATATGGAGTGTCCAAACAATTATGGGCTTGAAAATAACGTCAAAAGGGGGGAGGGGTTTCTTTTTCAAACACTCTATAGAGTTTCGGTCCTGGAAAAACTGGTATTGACCTAAAGAATGTTTAAACTGGCTACAGAAAAATAAAATGCATCCAGAGTACTTGTTTTTTAATGCCCAAAAGATTCAGAGAGATGAAATATGCACAGTTAGTGTCGATTTGTAGTCAGGGTGTCAAAATTCAGTCACGTCGAAAAGTGACGTTGATCATGTGTGGTAGAAATTGAACTCCAACAAGCTTAAGTATTCTGGCATAATCAAGTGAGGATCTTTCCCCATATAAAGATCCATTTACAATATTATATGCATTGAAAACAGCTGCTCATGACATTGTAAATTCATATAAATAAGACGGGTTTAAGTCCTTACTTAACTCCAGGTAATCTCATCAAGATAAGTGTATGAGGTAGAGAGAGGGGACATTAAGAAACAATGACGTTATGCGGACGTCATGACACTAAACGGCGACAGCGCCGGGTGATCACATGAAGTCTTTTTAATTTTAGAATAATTTGGCAAATTATCAACTTATTAAGCTAAAATTTTCAACATTTCTTAAACTTTTGTTGTTTTATGTTCCGCATAAATTTTGTAAGCAAATACTACATATCATTAATTATATCGCGTCAGTCCACGAACTTTTTGATAACCCCTCGTATATATATATATATATATATATATATATATATATATATATATATATATATATATATATATATATATATATATGCAAAACTTTGGGCAGACTGTATTAATTCAAAGCAAACTGAAATGTGTGTGTGTGTGAGGGTGTGTGTGTGTGTGTGTTGGGGTGGGTGGGTGTCTTTTTCAATCTTGTAACTGAAGGGGGTGGGCAAGTTGTTCATGCACAAGGGCTGGGTCGCCTTGGGGAAGCCCATGGGAAGTTAACTTCCGAAAGCTCCTCGACTCAAGAGCTTTTCGAAGGTCAAAATAAAGTCTTCTAATAAGAGAGTTCCACTATTAATGTATATTTTGTCATCACTAATCATGAGAATTAATGAAAATTTACGAATATAATAAGGTCTGTGGTATCCGCAAAGCCCTAGAAGCTCTTACTTTTCTTTACAGGAGAAATAAAGCCATTTATTTACATGTACACCCCATTATCATATAATTCATTTCCTTTTAAAAGGAAAAATGTGTAATTTGTCTTAATTTGAAGGAGGGGCCGGAGGGGCGCCTCGATCCTTAAATCCGCTGACACCGCAGAATGCATGCACGCTCACCGGCTTGATTTTTGCGGGACATCTAGACGAAAATATATCTTATTTTACAAATACTCTTGCATCTTATTCATTATATCAATTATTTGGCCGGATTGAACAAACTTTAGGCATTGCATTTATAATCATCCTATAAGCCTATACATATTATCATCCTCTGC